CAGAAACAATCAGCAGATAATTTTTACGCGTTGGTAGCGATGCACTAAGAAGTCGACTACCCAACGTGCTACACCCCGAGGGATATCAAGACTGTAAATTTTGTGAGTGAGCAGTTGATGGTCAATGTAGCCAAAAGCTTTGCGGTAGTCAAACAAGACCACCCTGACTGCAGATCGCGTGCCATCAGTTGCGCGCGTTCAGTGATGGAGCATGGACGTCAAAGCTAGGGCCGTGGAGGATCTCGGTAAGGCTCAAAACTGGTCAGGATCGATAATTTTCAACAATAATTTTCCCGGCTGTGGTATATTCGTGTGCGGCGATTTTAATCGGTTGAGCCTTAGCCGCCTCACATCGCAGTTCAAGTTGAAGCAAATTATTGATAAGCCAACGAGAGGCGATAACATACTGGACCTCGTTTTGACCAACTTGTCACATACGTATGACGAGAACGCTGTTTACACCCTGCCACCGTTTGGTCTTTCAGATCATAACGTGGTCGTCGTCCGCAATAAAAAGAGGCCATCCCGCGCTGGGCCTAGCAGCAAGTTAATTTCGAGGCGTGACACACGTGCTGGTAGGAAAGCCGAACTAGGACGGTTCTTTGCAGCCGTTGATTGGTCCATTTTGGATTCTGCTCCTAACAATGATGATCGCTCTAGACAACTGTGTGACATCATCACTGCAGGACTGGACGCTATCATGCCCGCAGTGAAATCTAAGGTTCATCTTAATGACCCTCCGTGGATTACTCCTGAATTTAAGACTCTAATCGCCAGGCGTCAGCAAGCTCTTATGTCAGGGGATTTAGCCAGCTTCCGTCGCCTTCGAAATACTATTAACCGGGAGCGGAAAACTTTTCGTGAGAGGTTTTTAGCTTCTAAAGTTGAACATCTAAAGAACACCAAGCCCTCCCAATGATGGGGGGAGATCAAGCGTATCGCTGGGATGACCCCTGCATCATACGTAGATCCTTGTGTTCATTGCTCTGATTGGTTATTGTCCGTTCTTACTGTTGTTTAGTATCTCTTTGTTATTTTCTCATTCGATGACTCCTTCCAACGTACTCAACCTGGTCTAGTGTACCATTAACTTTACACTAAGTTTCGTTCTCTGTTTTACTCTTCTCACAGCCGAATGGAACAAATCTGTTTCATTTCGTTCATCAATCATGGGCTGATTACTTAACGTACATGAAGAAAGATGGCGCTTGGGGTGACCATGTTATCCTATGGGCCGCAGCAAACCGCTACAAAACTTGCATTCGTGTGATCAGCAGTCTTGGCGCTACTCACGATGTTATCTTACGGCCACAATGTCCTGTTGACAAAAGCAGGACACTTGTGTTGGGACACATTCATGAAGTACACTATGTCAGCCTTCACTCCACACAAGGTACAATTCTTTACATTACACCCAGTAAATGAAGTGTGAGTTTATAATGATATTTTTTGTAAGTATCTAAATCACCAAGAAGGGAGGGGGTGGCTCTATCGTTCTCTGGTTTAGCCGCCGTCAAATGATCACTGCCAATATGAAGTCTCATAGCAACACTGGAAGCGCTTCGCTAAGTTTGCTCAGTAGAGCTTGAGGACAGTAATACAAGCTAACAAAGAAAATACCATTACAGGCTCTTAAAGGGTTATTGTTGACTTTTTTCCCGTGAGTGTACAAGTTTTGTCATTTAAATCGTGAATTTAACAATGTACTGTCTTGTGAAAGTGTTTGTTCGTAATTTCACCAAATACAATTCGGGACGAGTGCGGCTGACCGCCATATTTACTTCCGCGCGTGTCAAAACAAACCAAAACGTACGCCGTTTTTTCTGTAGGCTTTGAACAAATCGGCCCCATTAAAGGGGGTTTTATTCATGTTTCATGTAGGTTTATACCTGTTGCTTTTTGGGGCGAATTAGAACCTATAGGTCATTTTTCTCCTCAATCCTTGTAAGTTTGAAGTTGTCGTTGTATTAAATAGTGGTGAGCCACGATCACATACTTATCTTGTCTGCTAGTGTTGTAAAGACCTTCGTAAGAGCCAAAGATTCTACTTAATTGGCTTGCTGGCTTCTGTTTATATTTTTGCTTGTAGCCCTATATTTCAAAACACTCTCGCTACTCCTGTGATCAATTTTTCCGGGCTTGTATTGCAAATTGCTGTTATGGCCAGGTGTTGACTTGTTTCATAATCCTTTAAGAGGACATGTGGCGAAAACACGAACGGTTTCGAAATGTGGCAACAGCCAAAAAATCGATTCGGCTCACTTTTTCAAGTTAGGTGGGCCTAACAGTGGAACAAACCACTGTATACTTCGTTTCGCTGAATATCGATTTATTTTCGGGAAAATCGATAATAACTGAATTCCACCAAAATGCCG